TTGTCTGTAAAGTGCCTACGGGGTTCCTGCAATTGTGAAAAGTGCTCCATGGATGTAAGTCTTTCTTTTTACAGCAGCACTGGAGTGTGTAGTTCATCTCCTACTATTCCTTCAGCAGCACTGAGTTTGTATAAAATCTCATGACCTGCATTGAGGTTTGAATCCACAATATCCAAATCCAGAAGCAGCAGTGCCATCAACTGATCCAAGCTGACAATGCAGCGAGTTACAGCACAGTCTCACAATTAACAGTGATGCAGAAGTCTGCATGTACAATCTGCCACAATGCTTAGTTTTTGATCTAAATCACATCATACTACAGTTCTGTGCAGCAACAGGTTGCATTTATACAACAAGTTTAACATAATAAAATGTCCTAAGGTGCATCAGTCAAAAATAATAGAGTCCAGGAGGAAATATTAGGACAGGTGACTAAAAGCCTGGTCAGAGAAGGTTCTGGGGAGGAATTTAAAAGGTTGAGGGGAAGATAAATTAGTGCTCTGACTGCTGAAGGCATGGCCACTAACACTGAGGTATAAAACATGGGAGACCAAGAGGAACTTAGAGCTCTGAGGAGGTTACAGGGATTGGTGTTGAAGTCCAAGAAAAGATTTGAACATGATGATGAAATTCTTTAAAACTCAAGCTGCTGAACTAGGAATGAATGTAGGTCAATGGATGCAGGAGCAAATAGCAGCACGAGGCACACCTGAAGACAAGATGTCAGCCTGGCGAAGACACCAAACAGCATATGCTAAGTGATTCTGCAACCAACAGATCAGATCTAAGCTCTGCAGTCCTGCCACATTCAGTCGTGAATGGTGGTGGACAATTAAACAACTCACTGGAGGAGGAGGAGGAGGCTCCACAAATATCCCCATCTTCAATGATGGAAGAGCCCAGCACATCAGCGCAAAAGATAAGGCTGAAGCTTTTGCAGCAATCTTCAGCCAGAAGTGCCAAGTGGATGATCCATCTCAGCCTCCTCCAGTGGTCCACAGCATTACAGATACCAGTCTTCAACCAATTCGATTCACTCCACGTGATATCAAGAAATGGTAGGAGGCACTGGATACTGCAAAGGCTACGGGCCCTGACAACATCCCAGCAATAGTACTGAAGACTTGTGCCCCAGAACTTGCCGCTCCCCTAGCCAGGCTGTTCCAGTACAGTTACAACACTGGTATCTACCCGACAATGTGGAAAATTGCCCAAGTATGTCCTGTACATAAAAAGCAGGATAAATCCAAACCGGCCAATTACCGCCCCATCAGTCTGCTCTCAATCATCAATAAAGTGATGGAAGGTGTCAGTAACAGTGCACCTGCTCAGCAATAACCTGCTCAGTGACGCCCAGTTTGGGTTCCACCAGGGCCACGCAGCTCCTGACCTCATTACAGCCTTGGTTCATACATGGACAGAAGAGCTGAATTCCAGAGGTTAGGTGAGAGAACCAGCCATTAACATCAAGGCTGCATTCGACAAAGTGTGGCATCAAGGAGCCCTATCAAAACTGGAATCAATGGGTATCAGGGGCAAACGCTCCGGTGGTTTGAATCACACATAACATAAAGGAAGATGGTCGTGGTGTTGCAGGTCAGTCGTCTCAGCTCCAGGTCAACTTTGCAGGAGTTCCTCAGGGTAGTGTCCTAGGCCCAACCATTTTCAGCTCTTCATCAATGACCTTCCCTCCATCATAAGGTCAGAAGTGGGAACATTTGCCAATAATTGCACAATGTTCATTCACGACTCCTCAGATACTGAAGCAGTCCATTTTCAAATTAAACAAGATTTGGACAATATCCAGGCTTGGGCTGACAAGTGGCAAGTGACATTCGCGCCACACAAATGCCAGGCTATGACCATCACCAATAAGAGACAATCTAACCACCAAGCCTTGACATTCAATGGTGTTACCATCACTGAATCCCGCACAATCAACATCCCGGGGGTTATCACTGATCAGAAACTCAACTGGACTTGCCACATAAACACAGAAGCTACAACAGGCCAGAAGCTAGGAATACGGTGATGAGTAATAGTTCATTGTTAATAGTTCACTGGCCACACAGGTATTTTTCCTGATGGTCAAAATATACAATAAAGTTTTGGCTCAATGGTGTCATTTTTATTGAGTTGCATTCAAGGCTGCATTCGACCTAGTGTGGCATGAAGGAGCCCTGGCAAAACTGGAATCAATGGGTATTGGGGGCAAACGCTCCGGTGGTTGGAGTCATATCTGACACACAGGAAGATGGTTGTGGTTGTGAGAGGTCAATCATCTCAGCTCCAGGACATCTCTGCAGGAGTTCCTCAGGGTAGTGTCCTAGGCCCAACTTTCAGTTGCTTCATCAATGACCTTCCCTCCATCATAAGGTCAGAAGTGGGGATGTTCGCCGATGATTGCACAATGTTCAGCACCATTCGTAACTCCTCAGATACTGAAGCAGTCCATTTTCAAATGCAACAAGAGCTGGACAATATCCAGGCTTGGGCTGACAATTGGCAAGTGACATTCGTGCCACATAAATGCCAGGCAATGACCATCACGAATAAGAGACAATCTAACCACTGCCCCTTGACATTCAATAGTGTTACCATCACTGATGCCCCCACTATCAACATCCTGGGTGTCACCATTGATCAGAAACTCAACTGGACTCACCACATTAACACAGTGGCTACAAGAGCAGGCCAGAAGCTAGGAATACTGCGGCGAGTAACTCACCTCCTGACTCCCCAAAGCCTGTCCACCATCTACAAGGCACAAGTCAGGAGTGTGATGGAATACTCCCCACTTGCCTGGATGAGTGCAGCTCCAACAACACTCAAGGAGCTTGACACCATCCAGGACAAAGCAGCCCCCGCTTGATTGGCACCACATCCACAAACATTCATTCCCTCCACCACCGACGCTCAGTAACAGCAGTGTGTACTATCTACAAGATGCTCTGCAGAAATTCACCAAAGATCCTCAGATAGCACCTTACAAACCCACAACCACTCCCATCTAGAAGGACAAGGGCAGCAGATATATGGGAACACCACCACTCCAAATTTCCCTCCAAGTCAATCACCAACCTGACGTGGAAATGTATCGCCTTTCCTTCACTGGGTCAAAATCCTGGAATTCCCTCCCTAATAGCATTGTGAGTCAACCCACAGCAGGAGGAATGCAGCGGTTCAAGAAGGCAGCTCATCACCACCTTCTCAAGGGCAACTAAGGATGGATAAGAAATGCTGGCCAGCCAGCGACGTCCACATTCCACAATATGAACAGAAAAAAAAAGTAGGTGATGTGGGGGATATATAAGCACTACTGCTAAAAAGAAACAGGAAATTCAGAGAGTCTGTTCAGTCTAGGGACTGGCAGAAAAAAAGGGACAGTCAGACATGCTGACACTTTGACAGCTAACTCTGAAGACACAGTAGTAAAGTCAAGGACCATTTGTGTGTAAATAAAGGGTGAATTAGTGATGGGATACCAGCCTCTGTGGAGTTATTTCAGATAAGGCTTGAAACACAGAATAACTGAAATACAGATGAAAGTCTTGTAGTTTATTACGCCTGTGTCAGCTCTTTGAAATAGTTTTTCAATTAATCCCACTCCCCTACTCTTTGCACATGTACTATTATTATTCCCCATTCAAGTATTTGTCCAGTTCCATTTTGAAAATTCATATTGAATCTGCTTCCATCATTGTTTCAAGCAGCGAGTTCCAAATTACAACAGCTCGATGTGTAGAAAAGGTTTTATACTATCAGTAATTCTTTTGTCAATCATCTTAAACCACAGTCCTCGAATTACCAACACTTCCACCTCCATCTGTTCATTCCTCAGATGCTGGTTGACTGCTACGATTCTCGTCAGGTGTGCAGTACATCTACCAGTAGCTTGTCACTTCCAAGATGTCATAGAGTCATAGAGCAGTGGTCCAATTTGTCCATGCCAACCAGATATCCCAAATTAATCTAATCCCATTTGCCAGCATTTCGTCCTTGTCCCTCTAAACCCTTCCTATTCATATACACATCCAGATGCCTTTTAAATGTTGTAATTGTATCAGTCTCCACCATTTCTTCTGGCATTCCATATACGCACCAACCTCTGCGTGAAAAAGTTGCCCCTTAGGTCCCTTTTAAATCTTTCCCATCTCACCTTAAACCTATGCTGTCCAGTTTTGGACTCCCCTACTCTGGGGAAAAGACCTTGTCTATTTACTCTATTCATGCCCCTCATGATTTTATAAACCTCTATAAAGGTCATCCCTCAGCCTCTGACGCTCCAGGGAAAATAGCCCCAGCCTATTCAGCCTCTCCCTATAATTCAAACCCTTCAACCTGGCAACATCCTCGTAAATCTTTTCTGAACCCTTTCAAGTTCCACAACATCCTTCCTAATAGCAGGGAGACCAGAATTGAACGCAGATTTCCAAAAGTGGCTTAACCAATGTCCTACACAGCTGCAACATGACCCTCCCAACTCCTATACTCAATGCACTGACTAATAAAGGCAAGCCAACCAAACACCTTCTTCACTATCCTGCCTACCTGTGACTCCACTTTCAAGGAACCATGAACCTGCACTCCAAGGTCTCTTTATTCAGCATCACTCCCTAGGACCTTACCATTAAGTGTACACGTCCTGTCCTGATTTGCCTTTTCAAAATGTAGCACCTCACATTTAGCTAAATTAAACTCCATCTGCCCATCTGATCAAGATCCCTTTGTAACCTGTTTGGGTGATATTGTCTAATTGTCATACTATCCAGGGGAGTCTCATCTTCCTTGCCTCCTTCTCTGTATCTGCTCTATCTGTTTCTGGCTCAGGGACCAATGGTTCACACTCACTCCTGAACCAGAGTGTCTGATCTAAGTAAATACTCAGCTGTACAACGCAGCCTGGTCATGGCAGAAATTATTTACTTAAATATTTGAGAGGGATTGAGGTCCAGGAGAGATAATATGTTAGGCTGGGTGACACAGGAGCTGTAACTTACTGGGGTCTTCCTGGGTTGGTTGACAATGACAACATTGAACTGGAAAAGAAAAAGAAAAGAGTTAGAGCGAGTAGTATTTGCAGGTTGAACGCTCCCTCCCTCAGATAGTGCCCATTGCCCCTGTCCTGTGCCACCAGCTCTGCCCTGGTCAATACCTCCAGGTCACTGGTCATTGGCCCCCATTAGCACCCAATGCCCCTAATCAGTGCCAATGCCCCTTGTCGGTGCCTCCCGTCATTACCCCAATCCATACGATGCCCCCAGTCAGTTCCCAATGCCCCGGTCAGTGCCCAATGTGCCCGGTCAGTGCCCATTGCCCCCGGTCATTGCCCAATGCCCCCAGTCAGTGCCCAATGCCCCCTGGACAGTGCCCATTGCCCCCCGGACAGCCCCCATTGCCCCCGGTCAGTGCCCATGCCCCCGGTCAGTGCCCAATGCCCCCAGTCAGTGCCCAATGCCCACGGTCAGTGCCCAAAGCCCCCTGGAAAGTGCGCATTGCCCCCGGTCAGTGCCCATTGCCCCGGTCAGTGCCCAATGCTGCCGGTCAGTACCCGATGCCCC